CCTGCCGTAGCAGCCTCAAGGGCTGCAAGAGCCTCTGCGACGTCTGCATCTTCCTCTAGTTCTCCATTAACCTTGGTGTGGCCATCATATCTAGCTTCCTGTGCTGGGTCTCCCTCGTTCCCTCCAAAGAGGATCTCAGTGGATATTTTGTCTTTGAAACAGATGCTTAAAGGGCCCGTCCTCCAGAAACTGTCGCCTTCATCAGACTCGCAACATGGCAGATTCCAGTTATGGAGGATCGTTGTGCTTTCAGTGCTTTGGTTGATTTGAACAAGGTGGTTTGACAGGTTCTCGTTTCCAACAACTCTTTGTTTCTCAGCGTGGTTGGCTTTGGGGAGAGAAGATGGATGACCCAAGTGAAAGTCTTTGTCTTGGACCTCCGATATGGCACATTGTATGGAAAGAATGTGTTCAGCAGTGCTCTGAGAATCCTCCCTGTGGACAGTATCTGAAGTTTCCAAAGACTGCTTTGGGTGATTTTCAGAATCAAGGATCTCACGTTTATCACATACTCTTTTGCCTGGAGAATCAGGTAGCGGAACAGAACAGATCTGCGGGTTAATCTCTTTAAACTGGCTTTTATTATGAGAGGTACCGAGATTCATGCCACTGAAGAAATGGATCCCGTTAATGCTACATTTTTCTACGGAGTTTCCAAGTCCTTTCTCTTGAAGAGCAGGGAGTCGGTAATTCCAAAGAGCATCCCTTGTGAGGTTTAATCTGGGCTGGTTTGCTGCTAGCTGTGTTTCAGTGTTCTGGAGTTCATTTTTATGGTCCTGAACGTCACTGCTCTGCTGGCACTGGAATTTCCCTCTTTCTTCCTCATCGGACTTGTAGTTATTTATCTCACTGATGTTTGCAGCTGTCTGTACTTCCTGGGGATCAAAGATGTAGCTGGGGAAAATGTGAGAATGCCCAGTTATTCTTTTTTCCCCCTGCTATGGAGAAACCTGCTAACTTCACCGGATTTCTCATCTAAATTTTGAACATGTTTCCAATGGTAGAAAAGCAGGGTGCAACTACATTTTAATGGAATTAAATTTAACCACCCACTTTCTCGAAGTTTGGCAAAGCAATTAAAAAACCATTATTCCACTGTGCTTTCACTCCTAGTTGACTGTTTAATGGTGTCCATTGTGGGGAAAACTGATTAAACTTTATACTGTTTTTCAATTTTTGCTTTGTGGCAGGCGACCCAGGATCTTTGGGTTGGGCCAGATTGCAAAAACTGTAAGTAAACAAATGACTGTTTTAGCAATATCAATCTTTTAACCCTTCCAGAAATGATACTGAAGCTATCATACCTTTTAATCATCTTACAGCACTTGCACCCCATCTGGATTCTTCTTTGTCAGTATCTGAAATGATAGAGTGAAGGAAAGAACAGCCATCTGAAGCAGGGCATTGTATGCAAAAAGAAAGAGGCAGGAATTCCCACCGTATCTTTGGAAGTGCTCATTGGATAAAACAAGCTTCCATTTATGCTTAAACATGGGAAACACGGAGGGAGATGACCTTTTGACCAAACTCATCCACCATGGTGCTTGCATTCCAGTATGTGAATATTTTATGATTCCTCCTCTTGACCTCAAATTTTGCTTCCATGGCAGTGTTTTGAAAATAACTTCCCTGCTTTCCAATTGCACTGTTAAGCTTGACCCTAGCTAATATTCAACCAGCTGGGCTATTTCCATCTATCTAACATCTATCATATCTATCTATCTATCTATCTATCTATCTATCTATCTATCTATCTATCTATCTATCTATCAATCAATCATATGTATATGTCTATGAATTTTTCTTTTTATTTTTTTTGGTGCCTTCAAGTCAGTGTTGACTTGGTTTTCTTGGCAAGATTTTTGGAAGAGGTTCATCATTGCCTCCTTCCTAGGGCTGAGAGAAAGGGACCGGCCCAAGGTCACCCAGCTGGCTTTGTGCCTAAGGCAGGACTAGAACTCACGGTCTCCTGGTTTCTAATCTGGTGCTTTAACCACTATGCAAAATTGGCTCTATGTATATGTATATGTATATGTATATGTATATGTATATGTATATG